CCACCCCTGAAACCTCTTTCGACGGGGATCATACCAGCCTGCCCTCGCCATCCCCTGTGCAGATCGCTTCTTGCCGTTCGTCGCCCGCTCGATAATGACGTCCCTCCGGCATTGCCCCGGTTGAGGACAGTAGGACACGTCGACCCTTTGGATTTTATCACATCAAAAAATAGCTGATAAAATATAGATGATCTGATAGTGGTAGCATGACAATTGAGCGCACCGGTTGCTAAATTTGCTGCTAATTAAATGAAGAACTCGACGGCCGCCAATGCCCTACCAAACAAGAAACCAAAATACCCTAACGAGAAATAAGGACATGGTTGATTGATTACCATTTTGCCCCTTAGATCAAGGTACTCTATGACTTTTCTTGTCAGTACTCCACCGGGCTACCCAAGGAGTACCCAATTATATTAGCCATTGGATCAACAAAAATAGATGGTCTACATTAATTCCAGGGTACAGCAAAAGAACTCTTTTTTTTTGCATCGATACAGTAAAAGAACTCATGTTCATCCATTGTGTCATCCAGGTAAGATTTTACAAATGGGAAAAACTGAAGTTGTACAAATATGATACGGTCTTGCTAAACGTAAGTGGTTTAAGATTTTTTTTTAATGCATAAGCCTATTCCAAGACCAAGTTGTGGTTCCCATTGAACCGGGGTAGCGTTCTTTACAATTGATTTAGGTTCTTGATGTAATTTCGGATGAAATTCCGAACTTTGTGGTTTAAATAAATGCGGCATGCTTTACCTAAAAAAAACTTAGATATAAAACTGATCCAAAGTGATAATTAAAAATGTAAACATGATTATAAATAAGAACTCATAGTCGCTAAGTTAAACTCACGGCAATCAAAATGCCAAATGGAGCGGCTTAAAAAAATGCCAAATAGAGTAAACTGACATCCGCTAAGGCTCAAGGTAATGAAGGTCTTTTGACATCCAAGGCCTAAAGCCCTTATGCTTCAAAAAATGTGGATGTTACCCTCTTTCCAAAACTTTCACGGAATGTTTAATGTCTTTTCTTGTTAACTTACATCATATTCACATATCACTAAGTATCAGTAGAAAGAAAAGCATCCCCCTTTCAGTATCAAATTCATTTTTTTCTAAAAAAAGTTTCCAATTCAACCATCGACTATCTTCAAGGTCACAATTGTGAGGATGTCCTAGAACATGCGAGGTGGGTCATACCAAGTTTTAGACTCCCACTTGAAGAATTGGCAGAGACTCATGATAGCAATCCAGCTGATAAGGTGGCCCACCGAGATAATCTTATAATGAAAGAGAGTATTTGAAATACATTGCTTTAGCTATATAACACACTAAAATTCACTTGTTGGTCCCTTAGAAAAATGGTGTTGAGGAAAATTAAGCAGGAGGGAAGGGTTAGGAGTTGTGCAGGCTTGTTGAAGGGGGCTCTTACGGCCTTCTCCGCAGCGTTGAGTGGGTCTTGAGTAGTGCAGCATAGGCTATATGGTAGATGGTAGATCAGAGAAATACTGATACATTACATCCTTGCACCCCCTCGCATCGCCTCCCCCTGGGCGATGCCAGGGCCCCTGAAACCCTAGCACCTCAGGCCGCCTCTAGCGCCTCCTTCTGCCGCCGCTGCTGCCGGCGTGGGCCGCGATGGCAGCGGGCCCGGTCTCGAAGGCACCTGGGCAGGGGGATGCTGTGGGATCTCATCTGAGGCGGCAGGGGCGGCTCTTTTCGCGGGATCCGAAATCGGCGGCTGGTACGGCGACCCCATGTCGTGCGGTGGTGGCTAAAGCACGATAGCCGGCGGAGCGGCAACCCTGAGATGGACGGCGGCGATGCCAGTGCCCCATCCGACGAGGTGGCCGGGTTGTTCTGGTCGGAGATGGTGACGGCGGTGACTGCTGATCCAACGCCCCGATCGGATCCGCCGCGGGGAGGCCTTCCGCCGACCGGCGGTGCGTGGAGGGACCGGTGAGGAGATGATGGATCTCCGCTGGATTACTGACAACGACGTTCGTCTCCGTGGCGAAGCTCCGCTCAGTTCCAGCCAGCTGCGAGATCGGGACGACGTGGCTTCTGGTGAAAATCGTGCCTGACTGCGGTCATGGCAGACTATGGTGGCGTCTCAGACGTCATTCCCTTCTCGAGGCATCGTTGTTGTAGGTCACGTCAACCTGATCGGGAGGTTCTGGGGGAAACCCTAGATTTGGGTCTACCGGATTGGCCGACGACGTTTTCGATGTCGTTCTCCCTGCCGGGGGCATCATTTTGGAGCAAGTGTTGTCTGGAGGGGACAAGAGGAGGAGCGGTGTGTCATCTGGCATGTCGACAACGGCGGGTCTCAGCGGCATGGAGCAGCGGGGTCTCGCCGGTAGGCGTGTGATGATGGACGAGCGCGGGATGTTGGCGTTGTCTGGGGTCGTGGTGGCATCGACGACAACTAGACCGGGCAAAGTAGATATAATAGTACATCACTAAAGATGAATTGATGGCAGGTGACAGCGGCAGCCTCATACCCGACATGCGTCCTGGTTGAGAAGTGCGGTGGACTGGTGGGTGCCCCATACCCGGCATGCGTCCTGATTGGGACCTCAGATCTTAGATGTTAGGTTTGGCTGCGAGGTCTGTTTGGTATTTGGCCCAGACTATCAGCATCCCTTCATCAACTGGATAGGAGTAGCGGCAGATATTGTCTAGACGGTGGCTTTAGTCTTACCGTGGTATGACTTTATAAGGTCTTGTGTGAATAATTAATAAAGTGGCTGCATGCATCGTCTAGATGCAGAGGCCGAAGGTCCTCCTCCATTTCTTTAAAAAAAGATATTAGATCATATTAGTGGATGTGATTGTGCTGGTGATGCACATGTAAAGTGTTTGGTGGATGTAAATTGGCTTCTGTGCCATTCTTTTTTTAATCGAAAAATGTATTTGGCAACCGTGTGGCAGATTGCGAAACTGCCACACGCATCCAGCGCCGCCAGTTCCCTCCCGATCTCCTTCCTTCCCCGCACGTCCTCTCGATTTCTTTCCTTTCCCGCACGCCTCCCAATCTCCTTCCTTTCCCGCACGACCTCCCCCGATTTCTTTCCTTTCCCGCACGCCCTCCCCAATTTTATCGGGCACACCCGCTCGTGCCTTCCTAATTTTCGTAATCGTCAATTATGGCCCACACGCCTTCCCGATTTTCAGCAAAAATAATGCTTGGACTAGTATTTGATCTCTGTTCTGCAGGTAATCAACAAAGGGAGCTAACCACCTTGCCTATGACACTATTTGTTGAACAAGCTAAGGAAAATACTGTTTTTGACATGTTCGTGGTAACTTTGATCATTGAGAATAAATTTGTTGAACCCGCCCCCCCCCCAGGTAATTTCTGTAAATAGCACGATAACATTCACGCCATAGACCTGATAATTTAGATACAAACATCGTGGTAACTTTAACCATTGGGAAAGACAAACGTGAAAAGATACCCGATAATTTATGTGTAAATAGATGGTAATATACGCAGCGCACATCTGATAACCGAGGTAGAAACACCATGGTAACTTTGACCGTAGGGATTTTTTTTTGAAAAGATACTCCGGCATCTTCTGTGTAAATAGCACGGTAGTATACCTCCCTCCACTGGCATTTTTATGTGTAAATAGCATAAAAATATATGCACTGCGCCATGATAAGTTTTTGACCTGTGGGGGGACGGGGATTTGCTAAAACATACCCCTAATAAGTTTTGTGTAAATAGCATGATATTTTAAGCACTACGAGCTTGATAGGTTACCTAGAATCACCATGATAACTTTTTTTCCTGAGATTTTTTTTTTCAAAACATCCTTAATATTTTTTGTGTAAATAACATTATAATATAAGCACCGCATAACCGATAACTTGCAATATAAACATGATGGTAACTTTTTTATCAAAAGAAACTAAGTTGTTAAAAACATACGCTCGCCTCGCGCGTGGGCCTCTTGGATGAACGGAACGCATGGCGTGTCACGAGAAAGTCACATAATGTTTAGTGTCATGAGGGGCACACGTGCTATAGGCGTGATAAGTTACGCAAAAACTTCGTGGTAATTTTTGACCTATGGAAAAAGCTACCGAAACACACCCAGATTTTTAGGTGCAAGTACCATGATAATATACAAACTGTAGACCCGGTAACTCATGTACAATCCCTCATGATAACTTCGACTGGGGGGAGGTTGATGTACATATACCCTCATAACTTATGTGTAAGTACCACTGTATTTTACACATCGAAGACCTTATAACTTGTGTACAAAACACAATGGTAACTTTGAAGGGATGTAGTTGTTGAAGCATAGATACCTAGTACATTCTATGTAAATAGCACGGTAAGTTATGCAACGCAGGCCTGATAACTTGCATACAAATACCATGGTAACTTTGTCCCGAGGAGAAATCATGTGGTAGACGTGAAGAAGTGACAGTCTTCTCAGGAGTGGGCGCCCGAGATGTGCGGGAGAAGCAGGTTTCTCGGGCGAGTCTACAGGGTCGTTTGGGAGGAGGCGAGGTCAAAGGACGAGGAATCGTGTGGTACTTTGAAATGAAAAAAGTAGAGGTGTGACAGTTTTGCTTATATGGCACACGTGTGCCAAATATCACAATTCTTTTTTAATATAATATACGCACGCTCGTGCGTATTCTAGGTTTTTTTTGGGTGCATAGGCTAAAAGAGCAGTAAAACCTTAGTAAGGAAAGCTATACAACCTAATACAATCGTGTGTTGCACTGGTTGGCGGCAATCACATCAGCCGTGGTTTTGTTTTGCGGCAGGCAACGAACCCATCATCCGTCTGGCAGCCAACGAACCCAGTGCCCACCAGCCACCATCCACACCTTATATAAAGGCCCAGCCTCTCAAGTCTCAAGTGTCTCCTCAGGTCTCACCTTCTCCTTAAACAGCACAGCTCCCCTGCATCCACAGCTCCCGGGAAGATTTATTGATCTGTTGCTCGGTTGCCTTCAGCATTGGTCGGTCGCCATGGCCGCGCAATCTTGGAACCCTTTCTCTTGCTGCGTCCGCGGGGCAGCCTTGGACGACGACGACGACTACGAGTCGCGGAGGGGGGATAAGGGCAGCCCGAGGTCGCCGCTGAAGAACCTGACCTCGTCGGGGACGCTGTCACCGGAGGAGCTGTCGCTGACGTTGTCAGGCTCGAACCTGCACGCCTTCACATACGCCGAGCTCCGGGCGGCGACGGCGAGCTTCTCGCGCGCAAACTACCTCGGCTGCGGCGGGTTCGGCCCGGTCTACAAGGGCGCCGTCGACGACAAGCTCCGCCCCGGGCTGGCCGCGCAGGCCGTCGCCGTCAAGTACCTCGACCTGGAGTGCGGCACGCAGGGACACCAAGAGTGGCTGGTGAGTGCAGACAGAGAGCCTAATTGTCGACCACAAATGTGCAAGGTCGTTCAAATGCTTGGTGATTTACCCACGATGCCAACTGACGACGGAATATTTTGCATGTTGTTTCAGGCTGAAGTTTTCTTTCTCGGGCAACTGAGGCACAAGAACCTGGTGAAACTGATCGGCTACTGCTACGAGAACGAACACCGGATGCTGGTCTACGAGTTCATGTGCGCCGGGAGCTTGGAGAAGCACCTCTTCAAAAGTGAGTTCCTGAGACCAACAAGTTCAACAAATTTGTTAAATTAATTAAAAGTTTGCACGTACTACATGAGCAATGAGCTGTTCTTGTTCCCTGCATTTATTCTCTGCTTCCTTTTTGTTAAGTCAAGGGGATAATAAGAGAGCAGCTATGTGCCTTGCAAACGAACATATCTCTTTTAAAATTAGATTACTAGTACGGGATTACTGGTGCAAACTTATTGGTCTTGATCTGTTGGTTAACGTGGAGCATGTTGCTGACCTGAAACATCCTACTACCTTCAGGCATCAATGGGTCTCTCCCATGGATGACAAGGATGAAGATCGCCGTCGGCACGGCAAAGGGCCTCGCATTCCTCCATGGGGCCGACCCGCCGGTGATCTACCGCGACTTCAAAGCCTCCAACATCTTGCTCGACTCGGTAAGCCACCCGTAATCTTCAGGCTTTTTCAGTTCCAGCACTAAACTAAAATGCCACCATCATTTTGGGGACAACACGTCACCTGTAATGACTGAATAATTACTACAGCGTCCAACAGAAAAAGGATAAGTCTGGGTCCCTTCCAAGTTCCAGGCTGCCACAAAATATTTTAGTTTAGAAAATTCAAAATGCTTTTAGAATCCTCATTTTGAAAATTTCTGGTCTTAGATGGCACAGACAGCACTGACGTGACTGGAACTCAGAAGGTTCTTGGATGCATGCCAGACTTGAGAAATCCGGTCTGTCCGACCCCCACATCACCCATCTAATTAAAACATGTCTAACCATCATTATCCAGCTTACACAAATAAATGCCCTGCAAATTAGAGGCATATAAACAGTAATATTCTTATTTCATCTTATCTTACTTCGACAATGCCAACTGCCAGACGTTTCACCTAACCAAATTTGAACTTCTGTTATTTCAGGACTACAACACTAAATTGTCAGACTTTGGGCTGGCCAAGGATGGGCCTCAAGGCGACGCAACACACGTGACAACACGTGTAATGGGGACACACGGGTATGCAGCACCTGAGTATATCATGACAGGTCACTTAACCGCCAAAAGCGATGTCTACAGCTTTGGTGTGGTGCTTCTGGAGCTCCTCTCAGGACGCCAATCTGTGGACCGTGCACGACAACCAAGAGAACAAAACCTGGTGGATTGGGCTAGACCGTACCTCAAACGATCAGACAAACTGTACCAGGTGATGGACTCGACCCTTGAGTGCCAGTACTCGCGCAAGGGTGCTGAAGTGGCTGCATTGGTGGCATACAAGTGTCTGAGCCAAAACCCCAAGTCGAGACCATCCATGAGGGAGGTCGTCAAGGCATTGGAGCCTGTACTAGGCATGGAAGACTTCTTTCCAGTGGGACCATTGGTTTTCACCATTGTCGTTGAGGAGGACAAGGTGATGGACATGAAGGTGGAGGTTGAGGAGAAGCACCAACACCATCACCAGAACCATCAAGACAGACATCGACAAAAATACCCTGAGTCGCCGATGCATGGTGGCATTGTGCTCCATGGCGACAACGGGCATATTGTCGGGTTTAGCGGTACATTGCGGCGGCGACAGAGGACGTTGAGTTACCACCGGGAAAGAGGGGCTTAATGGTTCAAGAGTATAGTAGGGGAAGCAGTTAGGATTGTAGAGATAGAAGGTATATATATGTATATACTATTGACATGTGATACAATGTCACATCGTTTGTTTAGAACTGTGGATGTGTTTCTTTCTTTTCTTCATGATTGTGATAAACATGCAAGAGTTCGGTTTGGATTATGGCATGTTTTGTTGTTCAAAGATGTGTGCAAATGAATGGGTCTACTTGAAAAGGATATCACTTTCAGTTTCAAATAGTTGGTCCAACATTGTGAATCGTTGAGAGGTGAAATGATAATCTGAATTCTGAGGAAAAAAATGATAATCGGGAGCATTTACAAAAGCCTATCTTATCCTTGAGAATAATAGAGGCGCAATAATGCAAGAAGAAACTGACCTTACCACAAGTTGATGTTGTTGGCCTCAATTAATGATGTCAATTTGGATAGGACATGTACACATTGCATAGGTAGAACAGGAATGCTTGGGCCTAGGACACATGAGCAAGCCAAGTGACCTGGCAAATCTATGGTTGTTGCAATAGGATTACTGATAAGTTGGTGACGGTACAATGAAACATCCAACAAATTCAAGATGAATCGATATTCTATTCACGTTTTGGAGATCTTCCAAAAGGGATGCGTCTTTGATGCTTTGATGCCCTCTGTTGCTCACCTTGTTCGAACCATCCAAGAGGAGGCTAGACTTTTGGCTAGAGAGCTGGAGCTGAGCACTCCCTTTTCTTGTATTAATTCTAGGGAGTACGTAGAACTCATCTAGATGAGATATAATTTGGTCTCATTCACTTTGAAAATAAGAACAGATACAACCCACGTCAGTACACACGCATCTTATAGCATCACATCCAATGACTATAAAAGGTGAATGAGATCAAATTATATCTCATCTAGATGAGTTCTAGCAAAACTGTTAATTCTACTCCGTACTAGTTGTGTGTTCTGTGTGAATCTGATCTGAGGCGGTGTTTGTTTCGGCCTTTAGGACCAGATTGACGTTGTTTTGAATCAGCTTTGAAGACCTGTCAAAACTGAATTCGGACTATTTTTTTCGGTGTGTTGGGTTGAAGCACGTCCCGGGGTATTTCAGTGCCCTTTGCTAGCACAGCAAATCCACAACTGATAATGTCGAAACCGAAGTCTAAGCAAACAAGGCCTGAGATTGACGTTGTTCTACCTTCAGACACCACGTAACCTTCCGGTGTAGCTCGGTTTTCGAAATGATCCTTCAGCAAGAATTGCCTTGCCCCTTCCTTCCTCTTCGCAAAATGGAAAAGAACCACTACCTCTTACAGACCAGGTCCAGCAGGCACAATATCCTTGGAAATCTGCATAAATCAAGTTTGTCAAAGCAGAGCCTTCGTTAGATCTTGTCTCGTCCTCGTTTCACTCGCCTAATTGGTTTCGGCGTCTCAAAGGAACCGTTCATCTCGAAAGAAAGCAAGCAGGACAAGCAACGGACTGCGGCGTCAGCTCCCTAGTACTCCCTCCGTCCCAAAATACTTGTCTTCAAAATAAATGAAAATGAATGTATCTACAACTAAAATACATCTAGATACATCCATTTCAATAACAAGTATTTTCGGATGGAGGGAGTATATCCTACAGTATAACAGACAAGAAGAAACTGTCAACGGTTTGCACGCGGTGTACGTCAGATCGCCAGCTCCCTGTCCTAACACGAAGAGACTAACACTCTTAGCGCTAGTGGAGTACGTATACATGATGACCCTGGGATAAAATCAGCATGGTGTCACTGCCCCCGAGCAGGAGCGCCCCAACAAAGCCACAACCAGCGGCGCGTGTGGCAAACAGCGGAAAAACTGAGGCGTTTTCGGCGCTTCCCTTGCGTTTCGGTCCGGCTCATGCTGTTGGTAGCCTATAAAATTGGCTGCTGCTAATCAGCGCGACATCGTCATGTGCTCGTTGGTCTGACATTAGTTTAAGATGATCACACCCGGACCCGATCACGCAACAAGATAATAACAAACAAACAAAAAAATTGCGTCCTGACTTAAGCCACCTTGTGAAGCTGTGGACGGATGAATCATGGCCATGGTCATGCTCTGCATGACGAGCTTCGAACGGCGGACCTTGTCTTTTTTTCAAAAAAACAAGGCAAAAGATTAGTCATTTTTATTGGTAAAGAAGAAGAGAGTTTCCAATTAATTAAAAGAAAACCGAAGGAAAACCTAAATTACAAACTCCACAAGGGGCATACACGGACGACCTGGCCATAAACAAGATCACGACACAAGCAACGACACAACCGTCGAGAGGTAGCACCGAACAGCAAAGCAACACCAAACAGTCGACCGCAACGTCGAGGACATAGCAGCTCCGATTTTGCCAACGAGCATCACAGGAAAAAGTTACAAGCCTCGCCCCGACCTAGTCCAATGCAAAACCCGACGGACCATGTCATCGTCATCAACAACAGGGCGGGTGCTGTTTCTTCAAAGAAACAGCAACAAGGCGCTGGCGAGCCAAGTAATTAGTGCACGTACGCCTGAGGTCTCCGTCGCCGGGAGAAAGAAACCATGCATGCATCTCCAACAAGACATCGCGCATTAAAGAGCATGGGACTACGGGAGCAATGATATGTGCGTGCATCACGCGGCCCGGTCGTACGTCCTGATGGCTCATCTGCCTGCCTGCATGTCGCGTGCTCGCATGCAGCCGCAGCCGTGGGTGGTACGTGCCAGCTAATTAAACGTGCGGAATTAGAGAAACGCAGGGCACTCGATGACCACAACGCCCGAACGCTAAATATCTCATCTAAAGAGAGGAGGGGAGAGGAGAGAAGACGGGGGCACGGGACGTCACCGTGCGTTCTCAGGGTCAAGGTCAACAATGTGCATGCATGCATCCACGTCAGGGAGCCGGCGGGAAAGGCCTATCCACGAGTATAGTCCAAGGTGTAAAAAGGCTTGTGTGTGTTTATACGGCATTGACAACTGACGGCCGAAACTAACTACCAGTTGGACGATGCGCATACGAGAAAAATAATATAATCCAAGTCAGCACTGCACAGGCGAGTGGGCGACAAGAATATTGTGCCTTGAATTGATCCACTTGTTAACCAATCGGCTCGTTTTGAATTGATACCATGTAGAGTAGTACGTAGGAGGAGAACCCAGATTGATTACAGTGGTTTAAGGTATGATTGGCCATATATGTCTTAGTCAACTACGTACTCTCTCTCTATATAAAAGAAATAGGCAATGCATTTTTATTTTGTTTTCTTGATTTTGAGATAGCTAACCGCTTGATTTTGAGAGGCGATGTATTTGGCCAGCTTGTGAGCGTACAAGACAATAACCGCACATCAGATACAACAAAAGAAATAGTGCTTCTTCAATAAACGCACATGAGATACAACGAAAAACAATGTAGTAGTACTCAAGTACTCCTTTCATCCAAAAATACTTGTCATCAAAATGGATGAAAAAAGATGTATCTAAAACTGAAATACATCTAGATACATCATTTTTCTTTATGACAAATATTTTCGGACGGAGCGAGTATTGGCAAAAGGAGTTAACTCATTCCCTGAAGGAGTTGTATTTCTTCTTGTCTGGATGTTGTTCAGTTGGGTAGTACTAGGATTCTTTTTCCTTGAATTTGGCACGACTTCGTTGGATATTGTTGAAGACGAAGATGTCTCTGGTCACGCAGATAGGCCATAAATATGATCTCTTCTTTTCTCAAGAGGACAAATACGCTGCGACTGACTGCATGATGTAAACATTTCACGTATTTCTTACGCAGTTCTCCCGTCCACGGCTTCTTTTCACGGTGATGAACCGAGGGTGCCGTCGTTTTGCATGATTTGGTTGGCTTATCTCCAAGAACTCACTTTTTTCTCGAATACGCACGAGTGTGCGTATCATTTTATAAAGAAGAAGGGGAAAAGACTCCCATCCGCATAGGTACATAATATTGACATGCCTCGGGCATCCACCTCCACATGGGGTAACTACATGTTCGACTACTCACTCACTCAACACAGACCTCTTCCTTTTATAATTCCCGCCTCATCTGAAAGAGCTAATTTCACGCACTGAAAGATATTTGGGCGCCCGTTTGTCCCGGAGATATTTTCCCGCATGCAACTCCGACACGACAGCGAGCTCTAGCACGTACGTAAGGTAGGATTTGACCTGAAAATGAGAGAAAATTTTGGCATTTGCACTCGGATAAGTAGGGGACAGCACCGTGCTGGAGAAGTGAGAGATGGTAATTAGCTGCAAGAACTAGTAAGTGTAGTGGTATGAACAAGCACGACTTGATGGACGGCGCAAACAAACAACCCTCAATTTAGAAATTACGGTTGTTGCTGGACACTTGTCAGGAGACTCGAGATATTTTGCTCTACCATGAGAAAACCCCCAGATATTTGCTGGGTTCAGGTGGAGACAAGAGCTGAGCATCGGTCGATCGGCAAAAAAATACGGGGTGTGACACTTTTCCTCCGAAAATCATAGAGGAGGTTCAGCAGGTGCGGAAAATATCTATCCTCCCCAGAATGACAAGTCCATCCTTGCAGCAGAATGATCGTCATGAAAAGAGTAGCAATGTAGCACGGTTGTCTGGGATATCTACCCTCTCCCGGCGGCCAGCGGCGTCTCCAGAGGGGAGGGGCATGCGGCTGCTCGACCGGTTCTCTGCTTCTGCTAGTGTTCGATCAGGTTACATCGTCCTGCTCCCCCACCCACACGTCGCAGTTTCGTGCGCACGTAGCAGTACTGTGCAGTGGCACCAGAGTCTGGAGCACACACTCCACAGCCCACGCACGAAATCCACCCTTTTCGGCAGCTTCCCATCCCATCGCATCCCATGGCGACCCACGCACGGAGGAAAAGAATCGGTCGCGTCCTGCTTCCTGCCCCGACAACGACACGAGCATTGCTCGTACACCGCAAGCTTTGCGGGCGTTTCCTTCATCCGGACGGCGTGGAAAAGGTCGGCCACGGCCACGGCCCCGGATAC